ATTCCTTATTTTAGTACCTTATAGAATCACTTGGGAACAAGCAGTGCAGCTCTTCGATGATGACCAGAGCTGTCGGGACACTAATGGACAATCTGCACTGTATGAGCAGGAAAGTGCTGAAAATCATGTACTGTGACCTTTTCAACCAGAGTCAAAGTGGGGAATGGCAAACCTCCAAGCTGTAAATGATGTAGTTTCCACTGAAGTAAAAATACAAGGTAGTGTAAAGAGGTGTTTTGGCATTTAGTACTCACTCTGCCTTCCAGGTATTATCAGTATCACGTCTTGCACCACAGATCTGCACTAAAACAATTCTTCAAAATCTCTGAACAAGAACAAGATACTATTTCTTACTCTAACAAAGACACAGTAAAATGCCAGCGGGTCCTGGTGTAGTTCAATAATATTTATAAAACTAAAATCAAGTGTTCTTTTTACTGCACCGTGGGTCCAAGTGTAAGTTGATTTTTAAACTATTCGTGTGAGAGTAACAGTTTACAACTGGAATTTCTTAAAAAGGATACATGACCACAAATAAGCTTAACCACAGCGCCCTCCTGTGGAGATAAAGCTCTAGGCAGGTAATCCAATGAAATATGACAGTACTGCATAGTTGCAATATTTGGTTCAATAGCTCTAAATCAAAGTGGATAAAATAAATTATGTTGGTCTAGAGCTACTGTGTTGTTAGTTCCATCTCATACTCTGACACTCACACTCGTTCAAACTCCCTTGTTATAGCACCCTCCATCCAACAGAGGGAGCATTTTCCATAGTCTTTTTTAAAAATGCACTATATGGTAAACACCTACACTGTAACAAACACAAATAATTTTAATTTAAAATTAAACTAAACTGTAAGGCATAAGTAAGGCATCCCCACTACTGAACCATGTGGCCACAAACCCATTACAAACAGGACCAACTATTATGGCTGTGTTATAAAAAAAACAAAAACAAAACTTAAACTAGGGGATTAAGGTGTCTGGTCCCTACACCTGCATGTGCGGTGATGATATCCTCACAGTGAGGGCGCTACCGTGCAGCAAAACCAACCCCACCTCTCCCCTACTCTCTCTCTCTCTCTCTCTCTCTCCCTGTCCCAGTGGTTGTATTGGGGTAAAGATGGCACCTCAGCAGCCGCAGACAGACACTCCTCCACCCGGCGTTGAACAGCAGCCTGCAGCGCTGTGAAATGTTCTCCATCGACCCACCAGCCTGAAGAACACTGGAGAACATTTGTTTTTATATAACCCACAGACAGACCTGAAAACCTTTCGGCTTTTTCCAACCTCAACATCTGCCCTGTCCATCCATCCACTGATCCACCCATCCATCTCCCCACGTCCCGGTCGCCTGCAGGCAGCGCAGCTGTCTGCTTGTATTAAAACTGTTGCATTTGGATTATTTTTAAACCAGAGTGCAGGACACAGCAGCTGTGAGCAGGAGCAAAATCATCATCCTTCCCGGTGAGCGGAGGACAGGAGGGGAAGATGAGGTAAGCACGAGAACGCAGAAAAGGACGCTGCTGGGAAAAAACTGCGCATCATTCTGGGATTTCACGTAAATTATGTAGAGGACTGTGTTGTCTCCTGCTGACTGACACTGTACCTGACGGATGACGCTGTTTCACATTTTAGAAGCTGCAGATGCAGAGATGCAGGCGCGCTTGTGTGTGTGTGCGTGTGTTTGTCTACAGAATACACGAACACGGACGTCTGTAGTATTTGCATGAGGAATATTAAACGATGGGTGATACTGCATTTTCACAGTAACCTCACGTGTTTTGGTTTTTCCAATGTAACACACCCCTGCCCTGTGTGTGCACGCGTACGCACGCGCACCTTGGCACACCTTTCCAGCCCCGGACCAGTCAGCTTCCACAGCACCCAGACGCGAGGATGCGAGAGCACTTCCTACTTGCTGGCTGCAGGAGCCTCTGTGCTGAGTTGTTATTTCCATGCTTCTGCACAGCAGCCAATCAGCTTCTGGGATGCTGCTGCTGCGTTGGTGGGTAGGGCAGGAGAAGCATTTGGCACAGGACGACCATGAGTTGGAGGAAGTCTGGGTTTAGTCTAATTGGTCTTGGCACTGAAAAGTGTGTGTAAGGCTCTTCATGCTTGAGAAGTAAAGTGTGGGTTTGTGCCCTGAGGTCAGAGTGGGAACATGGCTGTCATTTCCATCAGCCAGTCCTGTCATCACCTTTGTCAAATCAGCTGTTTGTTTACACAATGGTGGCATCAAACCCATGTAAGAATTGTCTCAAGATGTCAGCTGCTGAAACTACAACATCTTGAAAAAAAATCGTACTTTTCATATTTTTTGGTTTTTTTATTGTGAGGCTGTTTGCAGTGTGGTGCCTATATGCTTCAGTTAGTGTATCTTGTGTTGGGTACCTTCTGCAGAATATTGGGGATTCTATGATACAGAAACGTCTGAACAACAGACTCCACGGAGATGAGTCACTCAGATAAAAAACCCGGATAAAAATTACACAGTAGTAACAGGGACCCTGGTAATATAAGGAGACAGAGGGGAAATGCTGATTAGACACTAGGTGGAGCACATTAGAAAAGAGGAGAGACATAGAGGGAGGTAGGGACAGGAAAGTCAAGGCTGTGGATTCAGACAGACAGGAAGTTGACCTGTGGAGACACAGACAAGGTGAGGCACAACAACAACACTTGACATGACAATGATAAAGACAAGAGGTCAAATTTACTGTGCTGCATCCCTAGATGATCTGGTTTTTTTTTCAAATTCTGAATTTCAAAATTTGCTGTGTTTTGACCAATCTCACAAAGTTGTATAGATTTATACCTGTCAAATTCTGAATTTTAAAATTTGCTGTGTTTTGACCTCACAAAGTTGTATAGATTTATACCTGTTTTGCTGTCAGCATCTATATTGTTTTTCAGGACAAAGTTATGGGAATGCTTTGTATCTATGGAGCTCTCACAGCTGTACAGTGTGTGTGTGTGTGTGTGTGTGTCCTAGTTGGTGGTTCATACCACAACCTGATGTGTTGTACTGTGATCTAATTAGCCCTGACCTCAGTGCTGTGAGCTGCTGGTCATGTGTACGTTAGTCAAGGTCAGACTCCATACTGCATGATGATAAGGAAATAAGACAGTGTTTCCTTGTCAGTATTTGTGTTTAGAATTCATACTTTTAAACATAAATAAAATGAAGGTATATTCACTGACTGAAAAAGTCAGTTTGAAATATATTCTTGGAAAACTTAGCGCTGTTATCTTTACCTACACTTAATTTAGTTAATATTTGATTCTGTTTTCTGTTATGGAGGATGATTGACACATTGAAGACCTCTGTTCTAGGTTCAGGGCTGATGATAAAAAAATGTACTGTCTTTCCTAATCTTGTGTCAATAACAACACGGTTTTTAGTTTCGTACTGACTAAAAAAAAAAAAACCCAAAACCTCTGACCTACAGCAGATAATTAAAAAATGTTTCAGGACTTCTATTTTAGTCCTCTGTAGAATTGTACTTCTTTAAAATATAACCTAAAAACACCTTTTTCAAATCCAGGAAGATCTAAAGTGAAACAGAAGGAAAACGCATCCCAGAAATAGATTTATACTTCTTTGTTTCGTGCCCGACATCAGGCAGTGAATGTGTGACATGTATACACACCAGATGATCTCTTTATGTTTTGATGTCTGTACCTCCCATCTCATAAACAGGATTGATGTGCGGTGCTGCCTGCAGACCCCGCCCACACATCCCACCAATGCCACCTCCTCTATTTACATAGACCACGTTTCATTATATGCTCTAAAAGCCAAGTGTGGCTCGCATCGATCCATCATCTGTCACCGCTGGTGCCTGATGTGTATTGACAGGAGCACTTAGTGGTGTGTGTTCGACCTACATGATTTTGTCAGTGTGTTTGGTGTTATTGCAGCACCTGAGAGGTGAAGTCGTCGTAACTGTCGTTGCTAAGGCATGGTTCTGGTTCAGCTGAGTTCGCAGACGTGTCAGGGAATAAACCGTGTGTTTGAATGACCCTCTGACCTGTTAGACAATCATTGACGTGGCAGTGTTTACACTGTAGATCACAGTCATAAGCACCAGCTTCAGTTTCACTGGTTGTTGGAGGTTGAACAGCACATTGTCTTCATCACATCACAGGCTTCATCCTTAATCCTGAGGTGTTTTCAGCTAGTGTTTTACAGATGTTTATAATTCTATTTAACCTTCATTCTAAAGGTTATTAAAAATAAAGTCACACTTCCTTAAAATTGTGATGCTACCTACACCTGCAGTGACTGGGATTATTTTACAGATTTATTTCAAATTTATTTTAATTATTTATTTACAGTAAAGCCTCTGCACAGTGCTACAGCCACATCACATCTGTGACTCATGTAAAAATGTTCACAATATACAGACAGAATGGAGGGAGATGCTACACACCGAGCAATTTCCAGCATCAGGTCCGAGGTCACAATCCTTGTCTCTACGGCAGATCTGTGTAATAAAAACACAGTGCATTTCAGGTGACAGCAGTGAGTCATACTTGTGCAGAGCGAGGTCTCTGGAGACAGAGACATGATGCTGAGAGGCAGGGAGAAAAAATCATTTCTAGGTTAATCAAACAGTTTGTTAGACACATTATTTACGTGTAATTTCTTCCCAGACAGAAACACAAATTGGAGCTCAATCTCACACAATGGCCATTTAACTTTTTTCTTCATCACATGTATCCCATTCATCATCATGTGAGTTACAAATGTGGGTGAAGAGTCACACATTGTAATCTGTATGTGTTTGGACAGAGACACATTTTCTGCTGTTCCGTCTCTGCCCTGGAGACACTGAAAGGATTAGAATTGAAGCATTGCCAACACGGTAGAACATACGAGCGCCAGGCTCTGGTGTCAGTCTGACAGTGTGTATATTTGAACTGTGGAGCAGTCAGAGCTAAGCCACAGCAGCTGTACATCCTCACACACAGCTGCAAAACTATGCGCAAGAATTTAAGGCCGTCGTACGGAGAAAACCTCCCTGTCCTCACTATAGAGGAGAGTCTGTATAGTAGAGACTAAAGTAATTTACCTGAAAAAAATGCATATATCTGCAAGGAGTAGAGGGAGTAGTGATATCAGAAATAGCAGTATATTGAAAAGGGAAGGTTTATAAGACAGTAGTGAGACCTGCTGTGATTAATGGTTTAGAGACAAAAGGCTGAGTTGAAAATTAAGAGTTGGAGAGTAGAGATTGATAAGGTTTGGACGTGTTAAGGAGAGATAGTAAATATATTTGACAATGGATGTTGGAGATGGAGTTTCCAGGCGTTTGTGGATGTTGTGACAGAGGACATGGAGATGGTTGGGGTTGAAGCAGAGGAGGCAGATGATCTGCTGTGGATAACCATGAAGGGAACAGCTGGTACACTTAACTTTTATAAATCCAAATGGAGCAGCAGGGGGCTTTGGACATATGGAGATAATAGTGCACAGTGCACTGTACTGTTGAAGAGCCTGTGTAATAGATTATATTTTAGTAAATGCCATATATTCAACAGGAAAATGCCATAAAGCACGTGTGAAGTTGCCTCTTTTTTCTTTAGTCCTTTCTGTGCTACCAGCAGTTCCGCCCCCTGCTGGTTTATTGCCATTTCCAGCCCTAACCCTTAAAGCCGCGTCTACCATCATTTCTTGTATACAGGCCTAGGTCTCAGCAGCAGAATCCCAGGTGTTACTAATGTGTTTTAGTGCTGACAATCTGGAATGGATCAGAGCTGTTGGGAATACTATCACCTGGATTTTTTCCTGCTGTGACCAGTTTGAACATCTGTCCTGAGCAGCCAGGGGAGAGCGAGGTGTGTGAGGTTTTGAAGATTAAAATACAATCGGCTGCTGCCGAGGTCTAACCTGTGATGGAGGCAGGAAGTGATGGGGGATGGGTTTACTGCGTAAATAAAAAGTGGATCTCAGTCCCTCGATGTATTCTCCATATTTGCACCTGTTTCTAATGCTCCTGCCCTCCTTCTGACTTTCCTTCCCTCTCCTTATCTCCATCTCACCCAAGACTTCACCTCCCTCTACCTGTCTGTGTCCATCTGTCAGACTGTCTATCTCCCCTCACTCTAACCCCTTTTCATCTGTTGATTGTTTAATAATTCCCCTCCTCCCCATCTGTAATCCCTCCATTCTCTCCCCCTCTGTTGGTTTTACTGTCTTACACTGTTTGATTGTCCATCGCAATCAAACAGTCATTTTGTCCACACCTCTTCATGAAGACAAAAGTACATTTGCTGCACTGTAAATGAAGGTCAGCTGACCTGCTTTGATCGATGCCCTGAAGTGACCCAGAGTAAAGGCTGGCGCTCAGGTCGGGCAGTAATTTAAAAGAATTTTTGTCATTGATTTTACCATCGTGTGTACAGACTGTGTCGATTGTTCCTGTAGTGAATGAATCCTTCAGAACCCCCACAGTACACCCACAGGTGGCAACAACCATCTGTCAGGACAAATGATTCTTAGTCCTTTTTCCTTTTACACTTGTTTTTCAGGAACTGAGCCAAGAAGTATTTTCTGTTGTTGTACATGTATCAAGAACAACGGAGGGTTGATTATACTGATAATAATGAGGCTCAGTCTTATAGCTATTTTACATAGAACAACCATGACTCTAAGCTATTCATTTATGTTATTTATTAGGAACCAGATCAATTTACTGTTATGTTCCCCCCCTGCAAATCTTGACTTAATATTTATTTTTTAAAGACGTGTAAAATCAGTGTTTTCCTCCAAACCTGTGCAGACAATGTCACAGATCTGAATTTAAACCTCATTTCCATGTTAGTACTACATTAGCCAACTGTAGATATTTGCAAAACTAATGTTGATTATCTTTTTTTATGTCTGTGAAAAGTTCACAATCAATGACAAATATATTTTACTTGCACTGGGTGTGTCTGTCATGCAACATTTCTATGGCTGTTGTCTTGTCAGTTAGATTTACTCTTGGCAAATCCCAACAGGGCAGATGTGGGTGATGTCAGCTGGGTGACAGAGACCACTGGCATGATTGGATTTCTCCTGCTGTGTCAGAGGGCGTACGGTAAATATGAGAAGGATTTATTAGTTACAGGCAGCGTCCTGTGGTGGGGAATAAGATTAGTGTTGGAGCCACACACACACACACACACACACACACACACACACACACCACTTACTATTAAGCATACAATCTACACATATCTGTATAAAATTGTCCAGTGGAGGAATAGTACAGATTCAGATGTGGCTCAATGTTGGTTTGACCTCTTTAAAATATTTTATGAAATTGTATTGTATTGTATTGTATTGTGTTATGTAATTTAATGCACATTTAAAGAACTACACACGGTTTTTATGTATATTTAGTTTTAGTTAGTTACTGCAGAAAGATGTCGCTTTCTCTTTCATCAATATTTTTTTGTTAATGAACATGTAGAGAGAGAGAGAGAGAGAGAGAGAGAGGAAGAGTGTGTGTGTGTAAGTGTATGAGGCCGTTGTACTACTAGCTCCGATCAAGACTGACATGACACATTAGATCACATGCGAGAAAAGACGAGAGCCAGCAGATGAATTAAAATCTGTTGCTCCTCCCTCTCGTTGCTCTTACGCATCCCTGTCTGAGCCAATCCTGTAACCTGCATAGGAGAACAGAGGGAGCAGGAGGAGAGGAGAGGAGGAAGAGGAGGGGTAGGACCAGCAGCCTCTGGGGCTAGCAGCCCATCGCTCATGTCACAGCTGGGAGGGGGGAATGGGAGGGATGGAGGGGTGTAGGGAGGAGGAGGGAGGCGGATGGTGAGGGAGGAGGTAATCCAATGAGACACAGAAAGGAGAGGCAGTGCGAGGGCAACGCCTCAGAGCACCTCCATCCCTTTCTCTCTCTCACCCGTTTTCACTCTCTCACTCGTTTTCTCTCTGTCTATAAGGCGTTCTGTCTCTGTATGTATGTGTACGAAGAGCTGCTCTCCATTTTTAAACCTCTTTTTCCCTCGTATTTTTTAAATGCTTGTTAATTTTTTACACATTTTTCGTCTCCACTTTCCAAAGGATGAACTGTTGACTGAACGCAGGATTATTTTTTGTCACTCCTGCTCTTTTAAGAGGCATCATCGTTCCGAGGAGTCATCTTTGTTCTCGTACTCCCAGCTGCTGAGTGTACAGTGGCTGCTAGTCGGGAAATAGGTTAGTGTGTCTGCTGGGTGTCAGGCAGCAGAAGTGATTGAACGTTTAGTGTTCGGAGAGGAGTTGAAGAGGAGTGGGATGCATTCCTGACTGCAGCCTTCCAGTCTTGTGACCATTAGTGGAGAAGGTGACTGGAGATGATTTCACTGGACACTTACCTGTGTCACTAACTACAACGTGAGCGTCAAGCCAAAAGGGAAGAAAGCCTCACGGACAATTCAGATATTAAACTTTTAAAAAAAAAATCAGTTTTCCTGTTGGTGGAGTAGCTGACTTTTTGTGTCTGCTGTGTGTTGACACCATGGACATCAACCTCCAGTCTCACAGGTTTTACTTCCCTCAGATCTACTGTGCAGAGCCGGGGGCTCAGCCACAGCTTGCTGAGTTCAAAGTCAGGTAAGCATCCAAGGGTGGGAAAGGAAGGCTCCATAAATAGAAGAGGGATCCTCAAGTCATTCCTAGATGGTGGTGGAGTCATTTTGTTCTGTGTCTGCTTTTGTCAGTGTTGGAGCCTTTTGGATTTAACCATTATGTGGCCAAAGCATCATGGCAATCTGACAGATCTCTAGCTGCTGCTTCTGCTGCTGCTGCTGTTGCATATGAAGCATTTCTGTGTATGAAGACTGCTGCTGCTGTGAGCAGTGGCTTGTCCTTGCAGGGGGATGGGGCTGCATGCTAATATGTCTGCTAGCTGTGCAGAAAAGTGTAGAGCTCAGGGGAAAAGCAGAGGGCATTGATGGCCTATGGAGGAGCTTGCCAAGTTTAACAGCGGGGGTGACAGTGGTGCATTTGTCTTAACATTTGTGATCCGGAGACCCATGGCTGGTGTGGTCCTCCTGGTGTCTCCTTCTGAGGTTCTTTTGTTCTCTTGTGTTTGCGTCTCTCTCTTCCCTCTTCTGTTCCTTCTCACCAATCACAGTGAAAATGTTCAGACAGGGCGGCTTGTTGCATCGCCAGCCGACGCCTGTCGTCATAGTTGTAGAGCTGTGGAGGACGCATGCTCAGATATGCAACAGCTTACCTTGTCTTTGTCTTGTTAGGATGAAATCATGCAGGATGGAGCTGTTGCATGGAGCAAAAGATGCTGAGCGACATGAAAATCAGAACATTGTTTTCTTCAGTCAGGCACATGTAACTATATTTTTATTGAAGGGTCAGCCATGCATGTAGTTTTTCCATCCATTACAGTAGATTTCCATGTAATCTGCTGTGTGTACATTTGACAATTCTCCTATAATAGCTATGATTAGTGCAGCTTTAAGGGACATGGCCAGAGTTGGGCGCCACTAAGCAGCTTTTAGTTTGGATGTAGCTGCAGGCAAGAGCAGCTTGATGGAGCCACAGTGTGTCACTGTCACAGCTTGGCCACGATTTTTGATGTCACCAGTGGAAAAGACCAGACAAGAACAGCAAACGGAGACAGAAAAACTGAACAAAAAAGTACAAACTCAAACAAAAGAAATCCTTGTTGTGCGACGGGCAGCCAAGAGCGTAGGGTGGCGTCATTCATTCCTTTGCAGGTGGTTTGATTTTTTAGGCTGGGCATGATAACCAGTGAAAAATAGAACAGTAATGCAACTGTAGGGATGTCACTTACCATTAAAAAGAAGAAGATTTCACAGGTTAGAAGATTGGGATTACTTTTAGATAAAATCTCTAAATTAAAGGTTATTCTTATATGAAACTAGTTTTTCAAACACATTTGTTAAAATCTGACATTTGGTCCTACAGTATGTACAGTTGGAGTTTAACAGCCACACAAACCAAGAAGAGCTGGAGTTGTCTTGGTCTTTCTCACCATAATTAAAATTTGCTCTGACATTTCATGAGCCAGACTTGAATTGTTTTACTTTTTATTCTAAATTAGCCCAGTTAACAGACTATTTTTTCTTTTTGTTTTTTGTATCTGTCTTTTTTAACCAGATATTTTATTGACTGTTTAAAACCTTATAAACAATTAAACACTTTCGCTGCAGCCTCCACTCAGTGACCTTCAGGGAAAGGGCTTCATCAGCGCACATCCAGAAATGTCAGCAAATATCAGTGTTTGATGTGTCCGTGTAATGAAAGAAGGAAAAGAAATAACCACAGTCTGGCACAATTCCAGCTGTGCCTCGCACCTCTTCTCTTCTTCACAGCAAGGGGGCTACATATAAACAAAGCCCACACAGACACACACACAGCTTAGGTGGTCTGCTGTATCCATTTATGTTCAGGTTTTTAGAAATACAGCTGAAGAAGCAAAACTTTGGCGTATCCATATTTGAAACCATATGAGGATATCAGAGCTGGAGTGAAGAAGAAACAGAAGGGAGACGGAGAAGGAAAGGACAGTGAGAGAGCAGGAGACGAGAGGGGGGATGGTGAGGAAAGCAACGCTAGGCAAAAGGAAGAGTGAGTGGACTGTAAATATGAAAGTAAAAGAGTGGGACATGTGGCTACGGAATTTAAAGGAGGATGGAAATAAATAATGGAAAATAATATACATGAATGTTTGAGTTTAGCTCGTTGGTGTGAAACACACCTTGGAAAAAAACATTGCATTCTGGGATATTAGAGGTAGCCCAGGCTCCATGGTGACCGAGCCACAGTATAGCCAGATAACCATGACAACCAGCATCGACCGGTTAGTGAGAGCTCACGTATACGTGCATGTACGCACATATGTACACACAATTATACAGACACACAAACACTGCACATAAAACAATGGTCGGAGGAGAGGGAACCGTTCTGTTCCACAGCCTTGAGGTACAGACACAAACTAAATCCTTCTGAATCGCAGCTCATTCTGAGAAATTCAATGTAATTAAAAAACAATAGACTTGAAGACGTTTTAAATTACATTCACTGGCTTGTATTAAAAGAAAACATTCTTTTGGTTTTCCTGTGTGGATTTCTTACCACCAGGTTTGAAAAAAAGGAAACATACTGTGATCTAGATCATATCAATTCAATCCAAAAGGCTCGAAGGATTTACATTGAAATAGTTTGACCAATCATACACCCTTACCATAGAAGACACTTTTAATTTATATTTTATTCGCAAAAAAACAAACAAACTGTGACTTCATTACTTTGGGCTAATGGAATGGAAATGGCACATAGCCACATGTTAAGTATATTGATACAGTATAAAGTATTAATGGCATATAGGGTATTGATGTACACTATAGTGGTGTGTAGTATTTTTTGGAGGATGACTCCACTAATTACAGATGCCTGTGAACGTGAATCAGGTTGTACTGTAGTCTGCACTAGAAAGCACTTAACCCAATGGCCTTGTTCATATACTCAACTGGAAAATGGGCCACATGTAAACATGTCTTTACTCTGTGTGTATGTGTGTTCACTTGCTGTGTGTTTGTTGGTGAGGTTGAACACTGGTAAACAGCAGCAGTTACAGTAAATGTCCTCATGTATGTGACACAGCTGAGCCTCCAGGCATCTCCTCAGCGTCTTCCCTTCACTTTCCTTCCTTCCTTGTTTTTCCTGCAGTGCATTGTTAATGCTACAACAATGTTCTCACCTCTCTGCTGGGAAATATTTCCCTTGTGTCTGTATACATTTTTAAAGTCATACTTGCCCATCGCCATCTTCTTTTTCTTCTCCTTTTCTCTGTTTTTTCCTGTCTTTCTTTTTATCCTTTGATATTCCTAATGCACCTTCTCTGTCTCTCCATCTTTTGGTACTTGTTTTTACCCTCCTTGTATTGCTTTTACCTCCTATTACCATGAGGTTTAGGCTTGTCTGCACAACCATTTGATTTGTTTACCTGTCTGGACTAATGGTAGACTATGGGCATTTACGCCACTAAAACATGTACAACAAAATGGGTAAAGTGTGGAGGACCTTCCATTTACACACCTGATTGATTAAAATTTTACAAATATGTACAGTACTGTGCTTTGATAGGTCAGTTTATTTGATGTACCTTTAGTGATGCACAAACACACGTACCAGTGGTGAGGTTCACAAATGTTCTTGGGTCTCTTAGCTAAACTATGTAACGGGTGGCCCCCGGGGGACACATGGTATCTGGACCACATTTTTCCAGTATTCAACAAAAAGAAATGACCTTCCAAAAATTAATAAAAACAGCATTATGTACCTAAGACCTCAGATACATGGACTGCTCTTGGCATTCTGCAGGATATTAGAGAGAGTGTATGTAAGATATTGGCAAAGCTGATGAAAAAAATTCTGCCTGCTGTATTTTCACATTACATGCATGAAAAAAAAATTTAATTATGGGGCTGCACAGGAGTTTTTGTTAGAATTAAAATGTTAAAAAAAGATACTGATCCTTCACCGCTAATTTTCATAGTTAAACATTCAACCCTTCACTTCTTTTGTCTTTACTTTGTCTTTTGCCGTGTAAGGAAAAAATGGCCTTACCCTGGTTTAATATTTCTGCAGTAGAGCTCAGTGTCAGATGGGAGACTTCAGCCAGAGGCTGTAGACGTTCTATCAGATGTTCATTAAGCCGAACACAGCAGACAGGAATGTCTGGATACTTAATTAACAAGAAGCTGTTCCTTCCACACGTGGAATATAGTTGAATCACACTTTGTTCAAATGCAGGTATTGAATTTTGTTTGAATGTGTTTCCGCTTAACAATGGTTGGAATAAAATGTTTAAAAACAGTTCATTGCTTAAAATAGAAATGTGCAAAAAAATGCAGCAATTGTCACATAAAATAAATCAAATTTTGCATTACAAAACTACCATAACATTACATTTTAGCTGCATATTTATTAGCGGCTGTTCATATCACATCTACTCTACTGTATTATAATGTGCCCTTTTCCCAAAATGTCAGGAGTGTTGCTTTAGGTGACTGTCCTGCTCTGGAATAATTTACATCTCATTCACATGCACGCTGATAGATCTCAGCTGTGACTGTGAGACGGAGGTCATTCCAGATTAAGTAGTTTGTTCAGCACTGCAGACAAACTCATCAGACATCTTTTGACCCTGTTTTCTCTCTGCTGGCGCGTCTGTTATGTCAGAGGATTTGTCTGTCTTGGTGGAGACATAAAGGCCCATCTCCAGTCTAAATCCCTGGTGCTGAGGTGGTCTGTTATTTTCTGTTTTATTCTGTGTGCAGGTCAACTGAGTTCTGACACAGTCCTTTATTGTATATTGTGTTTCCCTTCAACAGGAAGTGAGCAGGACGTTGTACTAATAACTGTTTAAGGTAGACTCAGTAGACTCAGGTAAACTCTTGAGACCTTTTGGATTCTCCGTTACTTTGTGAAAAGATGTTGTCATAAGTTTTTAAGCCAAACACAGCAACTGTCTGACATCATTATACTTGTATAGATCATACATAGAACATTACAGTTGACAGCACCTTTATCACACTGTAAAAAACTCTTGATTCTACATTGAA